CTTTGTGTCTGAGGAGCAGCAGCAGCATTTCTGCTTCAATCAAAACACTGAAGTCCTGGCTTTAAAGGAGTCACTGGAACAAGGGGAGATCTGGCCACACAGCAATGCCTGCAGGCTCATCTTTAAGGTGTTCTTTGGAAACCTATTGCAGCTGACCCAAGGGGCAGCAGGGATTTGTGCTGCTGTTAACACTGAATTGGTTCTTAACTGTGGAATATTTTAGGAGAGCTTATCCAACTGTTGGAGATCTCCTTCTGAAATAGAAAGTATTCAAAATTCAGCCTCCTCCAAATAGCCTGTGCTTGAAAACGCCTTTATTCCTGACTTCTGGAAAATGTAGTGCACAGCACATGAGAAACGTTTGCTACGTTTGCTCATGTCTTTATTAAGCACATTTGATGGAAGGTTTGTGTAGGACGTTTCACGTTTGCCTGGAACATTAATGCCAAACCAAACGTCTCAACAAACACTAAGGGAGCGCATTTACGTACCAAGGTGGGAAATATATTTCAGAATTTGTCCTTGCGGTAGCCGGAAGGCGAGAAGGGAGATTCCAGCCGGGGCTCGGGCAGCCCCCTGCAGTTCCAGCGCTGGCCGCCCAGCGGCGCTCTCGGCCGGCGCTGGGCTCGCGGTGCTGCTGCGGGCGGGGCGGGGACAGCAGCGAGCGGCAGGGGATGCTGCGGGGCTGGCACCGGCTGAGAGCCCCGCAGAAACGCCTCGGCTGCTCCGGAATACGCCCTGGTTTAAAGCCTTGGCAAAGGATGTGCTGGGAATCGCCGCATCCAGACGTGCCTGGAAAATCCAGGAGCACAAGGTGAAACAGGGAGTGTGAAGGACGGGGACGGCCTCCCAGGGCCATCCCTGCGGGATCCGGGAGGATTTCACCGGAGGTCTGGGGTAGCTCAGAGCCGGTTGATTGGAAAGCACCGAGTTACTACCGAAGGAAATAAATGTTTGCTTTTAACAGAGCGATGGGGAAAGCACTCGCTGAACTGAGTGCAGAGGGAGGAGGCTGCCGTACATCTCGGAAAATGAGCCTCCGAACAAGTACCCGAGGTATTTACAACATAACCGAGAGCCGGAAGGTTGGGAATGATTCTCCCAGCTTTCCTCGCTGGGTTTGCAGCCGGCTGAGAGCTCCGGCCCCAGGTCCGCGGGACAGCTGGGAATTCGGGGCTCAGCCTGATTGTTACAGGGACGAAAGAAGAAATCCACCCTGGGAGCTGTCCGGGAAGGGGACGTCGGGAGTGTTCGTCCGTCCTTGCACTCAGGCGTGGAAAACGCTGGGACTCTGGGAAGATCTGTTCCTCTGCTCTGCGGGATCCTCCCGCGCCATCCTACCCTCAGGGTGTGCTGGAGGAGAGCGGACAGTGCCTCCAGGGATGGAGAAGAAACCTTCATCCGAGGGGACCACAAAACCGGGCATGGGACCGCTGAGATTTCATTCAGCGGATCTGAATTCCCAGGTGAAAGACCAAGAACTTTTGGAAATTGAAATTGCTCAGGTTTCAGAAGTGTGGGCAACATTTTCTTTTAGAACCTCTGTGATCAGAAACACGGAGCCACATCAGGAACTGAGCAGGATATGCTGCTGTAATGCTTTTCGGGCATAAAGTTTTAAGTGACAGAGTGAAGAGAACTAGTTTTTTGGTTCTTCTTAGGATAAAGATGTCATCAGTAAAACAAAGCCTGCAATATCACCGTACGCCCGAGGAGATATGTGAATTCTTTGGCACGTTTATGCAAATCTTTCGTGTTATGGGTATAGTTCCTTTGTTTGTCCTAAAATACAGTGTGCCTCCATCTGGCAGTATTCAAACTTCTTTCTTTTTTTTTTTTTTTTTCAATTAATACCCATCCATTTCACTGTTGTGACTCAAGGGAAAACACCAGCATTAGCTCTACAGTGCTGCACGGTAAGTGATCCTCTTTATCATTCCTCTAAAATCTGAAAAAATATAAAGATTCCTCAGTGGAAAAGCAGCATCTTCTGATGAGCGAAGATATTGTCACTGCCAAGAGCTCCGTTAAGGATCACTGGTCGTCTTACACCCTTCTACACCTGAAGCTGATGGACACCATTTCCTTTCTGAAATTATGGCAGCGACAATAACTGGGCTCCTGCACTCAGGGTAGGAAATGTCTGTGGAAGCTCTTCTCGGCCTGTGTCTTTCCACCTGCTGCGCAGGGATGCTAAAGATTAAGATAAGGAGAAGGAAATACACATTTCCCCCTCGGAAGTGAAAAAAAAACGGGCACAAAGCAAGTGGATTACAGGTGTCAGAGTTGTTTTTGCGTGGCAAAAAAAAAAAAAAAAAAAAAAAAAAAAAAAAAAAAAAAAAAAAAAACCCCCCTTCCCCACCACACTGCTGTTGTTTTTGGCACTGGTCGTCTTACACCCTTCTACACCTGAAGCTGATGGACACCATTTCCTTTCTGAAATTATGGCAGCGACAATAACTGGGCTCCTGCACTCAGGGTAGGAAATGTCTGTGGAAGCTCTTCTCGGCCTGTGTCTTTCCACCTGCTGCGCAGTGATGCTAAAGATTAAGATAAGGAGAAGGAAATACACATTTCCCCCTCGGAAGTGAAAAAAAAACGGGCACAAAGCAAGGGGATTACAGGTGTCAGAGTTGTTTCTGCGTGGCAAAATTAAAAAAATAAAAAAAAAAAAGAGAGAAGCCACTTTCCCAGCACATCTGCTGCTGTGCTTGGCCTACGGTTTGACTTCTCTGTTGGTGATGATCGCAGCTCGAGAGATGGAAGTGTCCCTGGAAGGTAAGAAAGGAGGAGCTGCCCTTTGATGTATGTCAGTGGTTTAGATCTTATCACGCGTCCAAGTCAATGGGTGATAAGAGGAAGTCGCCGAAAATTACTTCGTTCATGCAAGAGCTTTTAGTAGCTAAAGGTTCCGGGAATCCTGGAGCAACCTTAATTGTTATTTTCTCCTACGGATAGAGGCACGAAGTTTTTACTTTAAAACAAATGAAGACATCAGAGAATTTCCAGGACTTGACCTCTTGCGTATTGTTTGACAGCGTCACTCCTTTTTTAGCAAACAAAAATAAAGGGAAAACATCTAGGAAATTAAAGAAAAGGAACCAAGTCCAAGAGGATTATGATACTTAATAATAATAATTTTTAATAGCGTAGTTTCTTTTACAGTAAAATCCGAACAAAAAATGCTCGAGACACGGGTAAATAATGCAAGTCCCATTTTGTTTTCTACTTCTTTTTAAAATTCTGTAATAGAAAGGTTGGGCTGGGCTCGCGGGAGGCTGTGCACATCCTCAGTGCATTCGTCGCAGGCGTAAATCTGTCTTCGGGGCCAGCCGTGCCTGCCTGAGCCTGAGGTTTTTATCTGGTTTCCGGCACAAATTCTGCCTCACAGTACCCGACTGTGCTCAGAACCCCTCGATATCCCCTCCACCTCCGTTTTCCCACGGTTGTTCCTATCAGGTCTGCTGCAGACATCTCCCTCTTAGCGAGTTTGATTCTACCTCTAAAAATCTCATAAGTCTTGCAAATTCCGGGACCCCCCTCAAACGCCTCGTCATCAATTTGTTCTCTTCCATGACATTTTTTCTGATAATCCGTGAGAATCTTTAGAACTTTTTTCTTTTATCTTTTACAGAGATTTTTGTTGAACCTCAGAGGTCTACGTTTCAATTATTCTTTTAATGGCCCGTCAGTTACTGTGATGAGAGCCTTGTCTTTGCTATTGTCTCCCTTATCTCCTCGTTAGCATTTGTGTATCGCGGAGTTTTATTTCGGGGCTCCGTGTTTGTTTCCTTGCCTGTTGTATTAACTGTCTGTTGGCCATACCTCCCTAGGCAGATAGAGAACTTCGTTTAGCACCTTTTTTCACATAGAAAAGTGTAAAAGTCGGGCGAGGTGTGATACCCAGTAAGAAAAGAACAGCATTAGGATGATGTGCCCTAGGACAGCTTTATCATCCTGCTGTGATGGCGAGCTGTGGTGATAATGAAGGTTTTATTTAGGGCCAGTTCCTCGTCAGTTCTCTGGCACCAGCTCTCATTTTTAATAGTTTCTCTGACTCGCCTCACTTACCAATCGCCCTATGCTGATTAGCAAGTGGAGAAGAGAAGGAAAATCTTTTCTGTGGCAGTGGAACTTGCCGTGTCTACACAACGCAAACCAAAACTGTGTATGAAGAGTTCGTGGTTGCGAGCTGGGATGTGATGCCCAGGGCAGCGCTTTGTGTGTGGGCAGGGATCCCACTTCCGAGAGAGGAGAGCTTTTACACCGCACCTTTTTTCTCCTCTTTGGCACAAAGAGTGCGGGTTCAAGCAGCAAACCCCGAGCCAGCAGCGCTGCCCCGATTGAGAGGAAATATTCCCCCTTCGGACGCTGGGTGGGGATGTTGGCCGCGGACCGGAGCGTTCCTCGGTCCGCCCCGGGTTTGCACACACAGGGAGACAAAAAAAACCCGTGTGAGCTGAGCTGCTCGCAAAGGAGTCGGAGCACTCCGGGGCTTCCAGATTCCTTCACCCCAGGACTGCCGGCTCACACCGCTCTTTTTCGGACACTACTAAAAAATGCTGGGAGCCGCCCAGGACGGTGGATGGCTTTTCTGGGGAGTGATGGCGTGTGGGAGACGGAGCGGAGACAGAAAGAGGCGAGTGATCTTGTTTATTCTGTGTGTTTGCGTGTGTCAGAGCGGGGCTGAAACCCTCCGCTACTCGCTGCCGGAGGAAATGGAGAGGGACTCCTTTGTCGCCAATATCTCCAAGGACCTGGGGGTTCCTCTGAGCCAGCTTGCGGCTCGCAAAGCTCGCGTTGTGTCCGAGGGGAACGAGCAGCTTTTCCGACTCAATCAAAACACCGGAGTCCTGACGGCGAAGGAATCGCTGGACCGAGAGGAGATCTGTCCGCAGAGCGATACCTGCACGCTCGTCTTTAAGATATTCTTTGAAAATCCATTGCAACTTATCCGAGGGGAGGTGGAAGTTCGTGACGTAAACGACAACTCGCCCGTGTTTCCGCAGAAGGAGATGGTTTTAAAAATTATAGAAACAGCATCTCCTGGCTCCCGTTTCCCCCTGGAAGGCGCCCAGGACAAGGACGTGGGCATTAACGGTTTGCAGAACTACAGCCTCGGGCCCAACCCTCATTTCTCCCTCGCTATTGGAACAGCAAAAGATGGAGTAAAATACCTGGAACTTGTCCTACAGCGTCAGCTAGATCGTGAAGAGCAGGGAGAGCTGAATTTACTTCTGACAGCCACCGACGGGGGGTCACCACCCAGGTCCGGCACGGCTCAGGTCCGGATCGTGGTGCTGGATGCCAATGACAACATTCCTGTCTTCGAAAAGGAGACCTACGAGGTGCGCCTGGCTGAGAACAGCCCCCTGGGGCAGCTGGTGGTCAGGGTCGCTGCCGAGGATCCCGACGAAGGGTCCAACGGGGAAGTGTATTATGCCTTTACCCAGACATCGGAGCGATCCCGGCAGCTCTTCCAGCTGAACCCGACCACCGGTGAAATACGAGTCGCGGGCAAGCTGGATTTTGAGGAAGCAAAATCCCACACCATGATGGTGAAAGCCACGGACGGCGGAGGGCTGTCTGCGCATTGCAAAGTGCAGGTGGAGGTCCTGGACGTGAATGACAACGCCCCGGAGATAGCGCTCACCTCCCTCAGCGCCTCCATTCCCGAGGACGCCCCGCCACGCACCGTGGTGGCTCTGTTCAGTGTGCGGGACCGGGACTCCGGGGACAACGGCAGGACGGAGTGTTCCATCGACGGGGACTTGCCATTCAGTCTCACCCCCACTTTTGATAATTATTACGAACTGAGAACAAACGCGGCTCTGGACAGGGAGAGGACGGCGGAGTATAACATCACCATCACAGCCACGGACTGGGGCAGGAAGCGGCTGAGCTCTCAGGAAAGCATCTTCGTGCAGATATCCGATGTGAACGACAACCCCCCAAAGTTCACCCAGGAGATTTACACCATGTCTGTCACGGAGAACAACAGCCCCATGCTCCGGATCGGCAGCATGAAGGCCACGGACGCCGACGCAGGAATAAATGCCCGTGTGAACTACGCACTGGTGCGGCAGGAGGGCAAAGAGCAGCCCGAAGTGTCAGTCAATGCTGAAAACGGGGATGTTTATATCCTCCGCCCGCTGGACTACGAGAAGGTGCGCGCCTTCGAGGTGAGAGTGCGCGCAGCCGACGGCGGCTCCCCGCCGCTCAGCGCCCAGGCCGTGCTGCGCATCGTCGTGCGGGACGAGAACGACAACGCGCCCGTGCTGCTGCACCCGGGCGCCGAGAGCAGCGCGGCCGGAGAGCTGGTGCCGCGCTGGGCACCCTCCGGCTACCTGGTGGCCAAGGTGGTGGCGGTGGACGCGGACGCGGGGCAGAACGCGTGGCTGTCCTACGAGCTGGCCAAGGCCACGGAGCCGGCGCTGTTCCGCGTGGGGCTGCACAGCGGCGAGGTGCGCACGGCGCGGGCCGTGACAGAGAGGGACGCGGCCCGGCAGAGGCTCATCGTGCTGGTGCGGGACCGCGGGCAGCCGCCGCGCTCTGCCACTGCCACCCTCGCCGTGGCACTGGTGGACGGCTTCTCCGAAGCCCATTTACGGGTGAGAGAGGAGGCACCGGCCGCCGAGCCCGACGAGCCGCTTACTCTTTACCTGATCGCCTCGCTGGTCTGCGTGTCGGCGCTGTTCCTCGCCACCGCAGTGACCGCCGTGGTAGTGAAGGTGCGGCGGGCCAGGCGGAGAGAGACGGAGACTTTGCCCACGTTCCCGGCCACTGCCACGGAGAGCAGCGCGGGCTCCCTGCCCCGCAGCTACGTGTACGACGTCTGCTTCGCCGCCGGGACCGTCAACAGCGAGTTCCGTTTCCTCAGGCCGCTCTTCCCCTGCTTCCCCGCCGGGCTGCCCCCCGGCCCGGGCGAGCAGCGGAGCTCGGTGTGCTCGCAGGATGCGGCCAACCTCGGCGGCGAGGGCGACTGGACTGCGCAGGTGAGGGACTGACAGGGCCATCGGGCGGGCGGGAGGGAGGCGTGACAAGCCCTGGGAGCAAGGAGCATTGAAGGTGCAGAACTGCTAGCGGAGGAGTCCCTGGGGTGGGAGGAGGTGATGGAAGGCATCTCAGAACTGCAGGGAGGTGTGACAAGACCTGGGAGCAAGGAGCATTGAAGGTGCAGAACTGCTAGCGGAGGAGTCCCTGGGGTGGGAGGAGGTGATGGAAGGTATCTCAGAACTGCTGGAGAGGCCTCCCAGGAGGATCCCTCAGCTGCTCCCCAAATGCTGACTAAACATGCCTCTCTGCATCAGAGAAGAATTGAATATTTTGGGTTGTAATTGACCTCTAAAAGCCATTAATTTCAAACCCTCATGCCATGAGCACAGATACCTTCAACTAGATCAGGCTGCTCAGAGCTCCAGCCAACCTGACCTTGGATATTTCCAGGGGTGGGGCACCCCCCACCTCTCTGGGCAGCTGGACCCATATCTGTGCTGAGCTTTTGTGGTAGATCGAGTCTTTGGTGTCACTTCAAAGGGGAAGAGTTGAGCCATGAGAAGGTGAAATTACAGGTAGTTATGTGTTGTAGCTGAGATGGCCACAATACACAGAGTATCACTATACAATTTTAGAAGGTTTCACGCATCAGCCCATACAGAGTAACACCACACCACTGCAGAAGGTTCCAAACCTGTGCCCTTCTTGTTCTTTAGCCCCACCTTTTATACCCTTCATGTTCATGCATTGCACCTGTGTGTCCTCTCTGCCTTTCTGTGACTGGTCAGTGCACCTGGGCACTCCAGGTCTCACTACCTTCAATACTGGTCACCTGTCCTGCTCAGCCGTAGCCCATTAGGGATGAGGCTGGGCCGCAGCCCCACTCCCAATTACCACACAACTTGTGCCTACAGACATGGGGGTCCTGCCTCACTGTGTAGAGCCTGTAGGGCCTGGAGCAGCAATGACACCATTCCCAGGGATACATCCTCCCGGAGGTGGCAGTGACCCTTGTGCCTACAGACATGGGGGTCCTGCCCATCCACTGTCTGGAGCCTGTAGGGCCTGCAGCAGCAATGACACCATTCCCAGGGATACATCCTCCCGGAGGTGGCAGTGACAGGAATGGCCGTAGTGGCCTGTCCAGTGTCAGATGGGACTGTGGGGACAGCTGTGCAAAGGGATGTCACCAGTGGTGTTCTCTGCACTGCTGTTGGGAGCTGGCACTCGGTGCTCCCATGTGCCACTCACCAGGGTGGTGGCAGTGCTGAACTCAAGCTGTCTTACAAACTGCTGGAGGCTGTGCAGGTGGGAACCTCTGCCATTCAATTCCCTTACGTTTTTGTGACTTGCACGGATAGTGTTGGCGAAGAGTGTGGTTATCAGAGTCAGTCACCTCTTAGAATGGGATTCTTTGGGACTCTCCATGGAGAGTTTCCAAGGATCCATCTAGCATTTCACAGTAGACAGGATGATGAACATATATGAGGCTGGAGGAACACAAGCACCATCAGGGTCAGTTAATATTTTTGTATTTCATAACCACTGGTGACTTGGGCTCTACTGCAGGTTGTGACAATCACAGTAGCTTCGGGGAAGACGATGAGGCTTCTTGATATATCAACATTAAACCACATTTACTGTTTGTGAGAAGGTGGTTTCTGTTTGGGGCTCTCACCATTTCGAATTACTCAAAACTCATAAAAGTTTTATAGTGACCCATTAAGGTTTTGTAATAGTACCTTTTTGGAGGATGGTTTCTGACTTCAGGTGTTCTCCATTCAGGTCAGAGATCCACCAAGTCTTACTTTCTCTTTGGCTCTCAGTAGGGAGGAGTGGTGTGGCACAGGCAGTGGTGTAAGACACATCCTCTAAGCTTCTCGGTGACGCCTGCTTCCCTTCAACTCCAAATGACAACTGCTCTCTCTGTTCTTTGCAGGGCAGTGCTTCCCTCTCTGAAGATACGGGGCCCAGAGCTGCAGATGCAGCTGCAAACAGGGAGCTGGAGCTAAATGTCAGTTCTGAGCAAAACCCTTGGCTCGCCCATCAATAAGTGAAGAGAAAGACAAGTATGTCTGTCCTCACAGGGAAAAGGGAACAAAGAGACCAAACACCTCCTTAAAATGTACCAGGGAGATCAAACCTTCTCTGTGAGAGTACTTTCCCCTTGAGCAGTACTTTTTTCATGTAGGTATTTTGTAATTGTGCTGTCGATGGAGGAGAACTGTGCTGCATGTTGATTACATAATAATGTATGATTGTGAGAATGCTACTGCTTCTACATACTTCGAGAAATACTGAAACCTGTCAGCAGATCTTTAACTTCTTGTTACACCACCTTCTCAGGGGGGTTTCCTTTCATGCTTTTTTTTTTTTTTTTTTTTTTTTTTTTTTTTTTTTGGGGGGGAGGTTTTTTTATAAATTTTTTTTTTTTTTTTTTTTTTTTTTTTTTTTTTTTTTAGTGGAGAGAGCTTTGTAATAATATCTTAATTTTCTGCCGTGTATTCAACACCAGGTAAAACAGATATTATGCAAAATTAAGTTGTGGTTGCAAAGGAATTTCTTACAAAATAAGCAGAAGCTGTTTACATTTTGAACTTCTCGCATTGGCACAATTGGCATATTTGACCAGGAGCTTACAGGCTCTCCTAATTGTAAAGAGTGGGCTTTGGGCAGTGTATTCTCTAGTCCTTTCTTTTTTTCCACAAAATTCAAAATACCATTTCGCGGTTTTTAAAAACCAAGATAATTAAAAGTATTCTTTGTAGTTTTTCAGTAAAATATACAAAACCATTTACAATTAGCTTAGGACACTGTAGAATATAGGGTGTCAAGAAGCTTTCTGGTTTTCTTTCCTCAGTCGGTATTAAACTATAAAGTAATGTGGTAATTCCTCTCGTTGAACCATTTTAAAGAGTCAAATGAGTGATGACAGAAAACAATAAAATCTACTTGGAACTCCCTCGGGTGAGTGTGCTGTCTCGAGATCACTTGCTGCAGTCATCGCCGAGGAAAAAAACAATTCAATAACAAGATTTCGGGAATAAATCCGTGTATCTGGAGTGGAATTTATGCAGGGGAAATCAGAAAGACCTGGGAAATAGGACGGTCTCAGAATTCGCAGCAAGGCGGAGGAGTTTTTTTCTGAGTGGAGTTGAGGTCTGAGATGCTGCCTTCAGCCCATTCCCAAAGGCTCCCAGCAGGAGAGATCATAAACTGCGGGAACAATCTCTGCCCATTCCGAGAACGACTTTGGCCATTGCTGCCGTGGTTAAAAGACCTCCTCACCTGGTGGCTGGACCCCTGTAACAACACACAGCTCTTCTAGCTGAACAGTCGGAGAGTCATTTACTCAAAGCGTTCACACTGGGGGCAAGGGAGGGGGAACCAAAACAAAAGGAACAACCCAGCTTTAAATAAACAGAGGCAGTGCTCATTCAACCAGTAACCATACTTCAAACACGGCTGTATGGACATTTAAATATCTATGCTTTGACCTAGGAAGAGAGAAAACGAGCCGTTAATCTTTGCTTTCCAGGCTTTGCGGGGGGAAATCTTGGACTCCTTCCACAGACCGGCCGCCTGGTGCCGCTGCTGACCGCGGAAGCTCCGCGCAGCTCCCAGCTCCGCTGATCCCGCGATTCGGGCGGGCGGGGCTGCACCATTTCGGGCTGCTCCGCTCGGGGGGCGGCAGGCTGTGTCGGCAGCTCCATCCAGCTTTCAGGAGAGGAGATCGGGTCTCTGGAAGGGAATGAAACCGAGGAAGAGCGAGGAAGCGCTGCCGGGGCGAGCAGGCGCTCTGATCCTTGTCCTCTGCCTCTCGGGGATGGGAGCAGAAACCGCTCGGTACTCTGTGCCCGAAGAGGCGGAGAGAGGCTCTTTTGTGGCGAATATCGCTAAGGATTTGGGACTAACCGGTGAGGAATTACTGGCTCGTCAGGCTCGAGTCGTTCCTGAAGGAGAAAAGCAGTATTTACAGCTGAACCAGCACACCGGAGATTTGGTGGTGAGAGAGCAAATGGACCGGGAAGAGCTGTGTGGACAGAGCGAACCCTGCTTGGTGCGTTTTCAGGTGCTGCTGGAGAGCCCACTGCAGTCCTTCCGAGCTGAGGTAAGACTCACCGACATAAATGATCATGCTCCTGTGTTCTTAAACAAAGAGATTGTTTTAAAGATTTCGGAGTCAACAGTGCCGGGCACTCGGTTTTTGTTGGAAAGCGCTTACGATCCAGACGTGGGGAATAATAGTCTTCAGCATTATAGTATCAGCTCGAACGAGTATTTCTTTGTCTACACCCGGCGGCGGAGTGATGGTAGGAAGTATGCAGAGCTGGTGTTGGATCGAGCCCTGGATCGGGAGCGGCAGGCAGAAGTTGCTTTCAGCATCACGGGTGTGGATGGTGGGACTCCACCGCGGTCTGGCACAGCTTTAATCCGCGTGGTAGTCCTGGATATAAACGACAACAGCCCAGTATTTACTCGAAGTCTGTATAAAGTCTCGGTAATGGAAAATAGCTCACAGGACACCGTAGTGGCCGTAGTGTCTGCTAGCGATTTAGACTTAGGTACATATGGAGAAATCGTCTATTCCATAGTTCAAAATTCAGAGGAAAATTTCGAGACATTTAAAATAAACCCAAAGACAGGTCAGATTCGACTCAAAAAAGCTTTGGATTATGAAGAAACAAAAACCTACGAGATAGATGTTCAGGCCTTAGATGGAGGGGGCCTCTCCACGCATTGCAAGGTGGAGGTGCAGGTGAAGGACGTGAACGACAATGCCCCCGAGGTGATCATCACCTCGCTCACCAGCACCCTCTCCGAAGCCGCCCCGCCGGACACTGTGGTGGCCCTCTTCAACGTCAGGGATCGGGACTCGGGGGACAACGGCAGGACGACCTGCGAGCTGATGGGAGAGCAACCCTTCAGGATCACTCTGCTGGCAGCCGACGCGTACGCGCTGGTGACATCAGAGACGCTGGACCGGGAGCAGGTGGAGGAATACAACATGACAGTGCGAGCTCGAGACCAGGGCTCCCCCGCCCTCTCGGCAACCAAGACCCTGCTCGTGCGGCTCTTGGATGTGAACGACAATGCACCCACCTTCACCCAGGCCATTTACACCATGGTGGTGAGCGAAAACGAGCCCGCGGGGAGGAGTCTGGGACGCCTCAGTGCCACGGACCCTGACGCGGGAGAGAACGCCCGTGTCAGATACTCGCTAGTGCCGCCACTGACAGGCACCCTCGCCGCGGCATCATTCGTGTCAGTGGACGCGGAGAGTGGAACTGTCCGGAGTTTGCGCCCGCTGGACTACGAGAAGGTCCCTGCCTTCGAGGTGAGAGTGCGCGCAGCCGACGGCGGCTCCCCGCCGCTCAGCGCCCAGGCCGTGCTGCGCATCGTCGTGCGGGACGAGAACGACAACGCGCCCGTGCTGCTGCACCCGGGCGCCGAGAGCAGCGCGGCCGGAGAGCTGGTGCCGCGCTGGGCACCCTCCGGCTACCTGGTGGCCAAGGTGGTGGCGGTGGACGCGGACGCGGGGCAGAACGCGTGGCTGTCCTACGAGCTGGCCAAGGCCACGGAGCCGGCGCTGTTCCGCGTGGGGCTGCACAGCGGCGAGGTGCGCACGGCGCGGGCCGTGACAGAGAGGGACGCGGCCCGGCAGAGGCTCATCGTGCTGGTGCGGGACCGCGGGCAGCCGCCGCGCTCTGCCACTGCCACCCTCGCCGTGGCACTGGTGGACGATTTCTCCGATGCCTTCCACCAGCTTGGCCACGATCCTGCGAGCGGACAGCAGCCGCAGGTGGCCGAAGAGGAAATGCTCACTACTTACCTCATCGCCTCGCTGGTCTGCGTCTCGTCCCTTTTCCTCCTGTCCGTCCTTGTCTTAACGGCCAACACTCTCTGCAAAGCTCGCATTCGGGCAGAGCTTCCTCCTCCCTCTCCCAGCTGCTACGCGGACGGAGATTTCGCCAGCGACGGCGTGGGCGTGGGCAGCACGGGCACTCTGTCGCCGGCTTACCGCTACGAAATGTGTATGACCAGCGGCTCGGGGAGGAGCGAATTCCGGTTCCTGAGACCCATCCTGCCCAGCCTTCATAGCAATGCTGAGGCGGGGCTGGACAAGGACGAGGAGCCGCTACGCCACTCGCAGTCTGCCTGCGACCGGGAAGCCCAGGCGGGAAGAACGGCCGCTCCTCCCTTTTAGCCGCAGGACTGGCCAGTAGGCGTGCGCGTCCCTACCTGAGCCGTGTTGGAATGCGATTCCCTTACCCCCTCTCCTCAGCCTGAGATTCCCCACCAGTTGTAGTGCCGTTCTCTACTGTTATAGCCGTAATCTCCCTATTTAGCCTCCAGGCCACTTTCTCCTGCCGTGGAAGGCGGCACAGTCCCACCGAGCTCAGCCTCTGCTTCATGCTTCCCTAGAAAATCCTTGTGCCGCTCTTGCCGCGGCGTTTCTCGGAGGGTGCAGAGTCGCCTGTCGCTAGACGACAGCGCACCAAACCGCCGGCTCGGGCCAGCAAAGGGCGAGGACGGGCGCGGAGCAACTGCCGGTGGTACTCTGGCGCCAAGACTCCCCCAAGGCTAGGGATTTCCCTCCCCAGAAAAAGTGTCCTGCCGCAGGAGGCTCCGCGGGCCGGGGCGAGCGGCAGCGCGGGC